AAGCCCATAAGTATAACATCTAGGTCACTCCCTAGGAAGAGGGAGTGACCAGTGGCCCAGCATAAGGAGCAACAGGAGTCTGGGACCCCTGTAACTCCCCAAGGAACATGACCCAGCGAGTAAACTCCAGGTGAGGCTACGCGTAGAGTATGTGGATACTCGCCTTGCTTTAGTGACTAGACGAAGTGGTAGACCAGTGCTGTGATGCAGCAACCAGTCAGAGTGGTCCCTCAGTTATTGTAGAGTGATAGACAGTGGCACAAGCAGTTAACTAGAAGAGGACAGAGAGACCAACAGGAGGAGCGAGTAGAATCAAACGAGGGAGGAAGTTGACATTGGGGTAATCATCTACCAACAGCAACAGTCTAGTGGACCCGAGAGTGGATTCTTCTGATTTATCAGGTACTTCACACCCCCTCCCCCCCTTCCCTTGTGATTAGGCTCTATTAAGTAGTGTGTTTACTACTGTGGAATAATAATGATTTATTCCACAGTATGTGTGTGTGTGTTATATATATGTATGTGTAATGTTATTAGAAGACCGTTTGATTAATTAGAAGGCCGAGGCAATTAATTTAAAGACACCAAATAACGAAATATTAATTTCAGTAAGAATTCCAGGAGGCAGAGACTCTCCAAGTATTTTGTTTGTTTGCGTTGCGTAATACTCGCGAGATTCGGGTTTATATGTGTATTGAGTTTACCTAGCAAGTGGCTCAGGGCTAGTCATTATTTATTACCTGAGTGGCAGTGTTGAGTTTACTTCAACTAGGTATTATGAATTTTACAGTTAAGGCTAGTGCCTGGAGGTGTTGCCATTTGACTCATTATTGCAGAGAAGTGTTGCCATTTGACTCATTATTGCAGATAAGTGTTGCCATTTGACTCATTATTGCGCAGAAGTGTTGCCATTTGACTCATTATTGCGCAGAAGTGTTGCCATTTGACTCATTATTGCGCAGAAGTGTTGCCATTTGACTCATTATTGCGCAGAAGTGTTGCCATTTGACTCATTATTGCAGGGAAGTGTTGCCATTTGACTCATTATTGCAGGGAAGTGTTGCCATTTGACTCATTATTGCAGAGAAGTGTTGCCAAAGATTAAACATTTATTCATTTTTACTGCCTTTAGGTGAATATATAAACCATTACTACAATTGGGTCGGCAGTCAGTGAGTCCTGAGCAACCTGTCCTCTTAACAGAACGTGGCACTTAGACGTATACTCTACCGAAGGCCAAAAATTATCGTACTAGTGCGGGCTCACCATAGCCCGTGCTACTTGGAACTTTTTGTTCCAAGTAGCGAATCTTAAACAACAACAACATGTCGGACTAGAAAAATGGTAGCGACTCGCAGAATTGACATACTGTCCCGTTTTCTGTTTTGGGTCCACGGATAGGATAAGGGCACTTTAGTACGATAATTCCTTGACGGTGGGAAACCTTAGCAGCCATGAGAGCAGCTTGTTGTTGTTGTTGTTAAAGATTCGCTACCTGGAACAAAAAATAATTCCAAGTAGCACGGGCTATGGTGAGCCCGTAGTGGATATATGAGAGCAGCGCTGCATGAGATGAGGCTCCAGTAAGGGGAGAGACTACTACCTCTATTCCACTCCTCACAGGAGAAGAGACTGGGTGAGTGACCTCTCTGTGTGCCACGGGGATCCCCTTGGTGACAGTGGCACTTGAATGCCGCGCCACATCATTTAGGCACAATTATATATTGTGAAAATGAATGCCCGAGTCACTGCACTTCTTAACACGAAAATATCCAATATTAAAGAGAATGACATTTCAAGTTCAAGTATGTTTATTGAGATAAGCAAGTAATACATCTCAAAGGGATAGAGTAGCTTAGGCTATTTCTACCCCCCAAAGAGAATGACATTCTCATGGAAAGTTTATTTCTAGAAGCGTTAGCGACAAATAGCTAATGTTATTCTTCAGGTTATCTTGTTCTTGTTATGTGCCCATTTAGGTTATGCAGTTAAATTTTTTGATCGCCATGTTATAGCATAAACTTGACGTGAACGAGTACATAGGATAACAAAGTTAATCCCAGGAATTAGAAACGTCTCGAAGGAAGAGATAAAGAAAACGGAGGTTAGTGAGTTACCGACCCACACTACACAAAGCAGTGACATATTTTCAAACGCATAAGAGTCATAATATGCAGTAGTGAAAATTTATTATACTGACACAAGAATACAAGTCAGACAGCTTGTCCAAAATTGACTCTGCCCAGAGAACTTAGCTCCAGGGACCCGGCTGTCTCATGGACCCCGGTCAGAGATAATAGTCTCTCTACGTACTGATCGCCCTGTCCTCTTGAGCTCTGCCGCCCCCTGATAGAGTTTCTGATAGGCTTCTGATAGAGTTTTATCTCTAAAGCTTATTATCTGGCCATATGTCGGCAAAGTTTAAATTTCTATTAATTATGTGTTTTAAGTGACTATCAACTTTTCCTTTGTTTGGGCATTTTTGTATTTGAAATTGTGT